TGGAGACCGCTGTTGTAGAGGGCAGAGGTATCCTGTCATCATTAACACTCAAAGTCAGTGCTTCAGTAAACTGTCTGTTCTTCACACTGACTCAGTCATAGATATGTACATTTGCGAAGTTTTGTTGCTAAAATTATATTAGAAGAGATGAGAAATAATTTATTTATCCCAGAAGCTGAGAAATGATTGTGGCACAGCAGTTAAAGCATGAAAACATTTACCAACTCATTAAGATACAACATCAGAGAACTAAACAGGTCAGATGACAAAAACAAAAATAAAATACAGTAAAGAGTTTAATTAAATAAGCAATGAATGAAGTGTCTTAAATATGCAAATGAAAGTTAAATCTGAAATGAGTGCAGGTGTTGTTGCACGACGAGGTAGAGCTGCATCTGTCCTGGTGGCAGTGGAGCCGAGGTGTTAAGGATCCATTATCATTCATAGCCTCAGTCACTTGGTTGAGCTCTGTTCAAACTGTGCTTTGACTTAAACTGGGTTCAGACAACAACAGCAGTGATGAATTCTCTCTGCAAGGACTCACCGTAACAGCCAGCAGGTCAATAATTAGACCGCAGAAAGCTTCTTTTGCAGTAACATGTCTACATTTCTTCTTACCATGTAGATCACTCACTGCAACGAGACACCTGACAGTCTGTGTTTGTATGTAAACACTCCAGTGTGTGTCTGCAGCAGTTTCTGGGTTGAGTGCACTGCTGGGGCAGGAACTGGAGAACAGAGCTGATCAGCTGATCACTCCATGGCTCTGAGAAAAAACACAAAGACATCATCTACAGAGACAGTGCCCCATAAGGAGACAGCTCTCCAGCAGGTCATGGCTGACTGGAGCTCCATCAGTAAGGACATGGTGATGGAGACGAGTCATCCTGCTGTATGTGAAGATGAAAATGAAGTAAGACTTGGAGCATACCTGCTGAAGCTGTTTCTGCTACTTTATAGTCCCAAATCAAAACAACAGTTACCTCAAAGCACTTCACATTGTAAGGTGAAGACCCTACAATCATACAGACAACAATCAGATGAGCCCCTGTGAGCATCACTTGGCAACAGGGGGAAGGGAAAACTCCCTTTGAACAGGAAGAAATCTCCTGGAGAACCAGGCCCATCTACAGTGACAGGAAGAGAACCAGAGATTAATAATAACTAACGATTAGATGTAGAGTGGTGTACAAACACAGGTGAGTGAAGAGGAAATGCTCAGTGCATCATGGGAAGCCTCCTGTAGCCCAGGCTGCCATCCTGATAATAACAAATGACAGTAGTCCAGCCTACAAGTAATAAAAGAGCCAAGCACCATAACCTGAGTTTTATCTGAATTTAGAAGCAAAAAATGGTCTTCATGACATTCCTACAGGTGCTTATCATCTGGCTTCATAGACAGATATCATCTGCATATAGGGATGGGAATCCACAACTGGTTCTTGTAGAGAACCTGTTCCCAGCAGTCCAGTTCCTTGGAAGCGTTAGTCTGCCTGCCTATCGATCAGTTTATCTGTTCTTGCACTACGATCAGCTGATTTCAGAGGAGGAAATAGTGGCGCAGTTTAGAGCATATGGACGAGACTTTTATTATTGTAGGAGAAAGGACTGCTGCAGGACAGAAACAGCTGCATCATACTGTTAACACAACTTTGGCTCTTAGCAAGCACCTGCACAAACAGCATGCTAACTCTAATAGCTAAGAACGCAGAGTGATGCTGAAGCTGAGGAAGTGACCCAGCCCAGCGATAACGTGAGCTGCTGCTGAACAGCAGTCAGGCTGCATCTTCTACCTGTTCATGTTTCTACAGTAGAATCACCGTGACAACCGTCATGAAGTCTCTTTGTTTTCATCTTTGCTTTGTGCTCCGACACACTCAGAGAAAGATCACGTGTGAGGTCATCAGGATTGTGTTGGTGTGTGTGACTGTAGCCTGTAGGTTTATATTGTTCACTGGTAATTATGTGACAGTGTTCAGATCATCTTACAGAGAAACATGAAAGTAACGAGTCGTACACGAATGTCTTTATCCTGAAGTAACGTACTGCATTACTTTAAAGACAAGTGTTCTGGCGGCGCGTGAACAACGCGAGGCTCAGTGTCTCTCCAGAATCTGCTATTTAGCGTTTTTTTATATATTATTGCTAATATATATTGTAGTATATCTATATCACTAAAGCACTTCTGGATGGATGCAAACTGCATTTCGTTGCCCTGTACCTGTGCATGTGCAATGACAATAAAGTTGAATTCTATTCTATTCTAATATGTGTGTTCACTTTTTTAACATCACCGATCACAACAAAGTGGGAACACCTGCAACATGCACGGATGTTTTATCACACAGCATGTAGTTAATGTGCATGGATGTCTTTGATGATGATGGTGACCCTCAAACTGGAGCCAATGAGAATCGATAAGGAATCGAATCAATTAGTGATATTGATAATGAATTTATAATCACTAAATTCTTATCAGTTCCCATTTGCATAACTGTCACGATTACGAGTGCATGACTCAAACACAGGACTCTGAATGAGCTTATTTACACAGGTGTCACCAGGTGAGATATACACATATATACAGTGCTGGGGGGACGAAGCTGGGTCCAGGGCAGCCAGGGGAAGGTCCAAACTCCTCTTCACACGCTGACTCACGGCAATCCACACAATAATCCAGTCCAAACTCACTCTTACGCTTATCCACTCAGGGTCCACGGGGAAGGAAATCAGGCCAAGGTCCAGGGACTCTATACACAGAGAGAGGCTGACGTCAGCACCAGGAGAACACAAGGACATCACTGGGTTACACTGAGGAAGTAGCACAACGACCCAGGAGGAGACTCGTCTGAGCAGTCAGTGATGATGGATGCAGGTAAGTCATCATAATGTCCCGTGCCCTTTGCAAGCACCAGCTGCACCTGTAATGTGATTACTTTATTTCAGATTGATGATGTGAATAATCCTGCTGATCTGACCCAGTTGCAGATGCAGCGCTACTTCCTGTCACAAATTACACGACAGTGCTTGAAATGAGGAAGATTTACCAGACGGTGACCTGACTTTCAGAATATTTCTTTGAGACATGTTTGATATGTAACGTTTATTGCATATGTGACTTCTTGGTTAGTAAAGACATCATACATTTCCTCCACAGCACCTCAGGGTCGTTTTCTTTTCTGTGGAGAGAAGTTTATACTTTATCAACGTCACGTGTAGAAAGAAATGTCTTTGGAGCCGACACAGCCAGCTGGCGCTGACTCACTCACTATGTGTTAACAGACCTCTCTGCATTGAATCATATCTGTTATTAATCTCTGTCTCTCTTCCACAGCATGTCTTTATCCTGTCTTCCTTCTCTCACCCCAACCAATCACAGCAGATGGCCCCGCCCCTCCCTGAGCCTGGTTCTGCTGGAGGTTTCTTCCTGTTAAAAGGGAGTTTTTCCTTCCCACTGTCGCCAAAGTGCTGCTCATAGGGGGTCATATGATTGTTGGGTTTTTCTCTGTATCTATGAAGCGCCTTGAGGCGACTTTTGTTGTGATTTGGCGCTATATAAATAAAATTGAATTGAATTGAATTGAATTGAATTGAATTGAATTGAATTGAATTGAATTGAATTGAATTGAATTGAATTAAGCTTCGGTCTAAAAAATAGTTGGTCTGAACTTGTGCTGCAGTCTAAACAAGCTCTCAATCTGAACCCCAAAAGGGCCTGATCGCTACGACTCAAGCTGTTGTTGAAAACTTTGGGACAACTTACCCTAATAGTATTAAATGTTAGACTGTAAGCTGGTAGCTTTTCCAAGCTGCTTTCTATTCTTTGTGTTTTTCATCCACTGCTGCTTTGTCGTGGAGAGCAGGGAGACAGGAATGGAAACAAGAATAGCTCCAGCTCGGCATTCCTCCTCCGGCTGTGCCTCAGCTTGTATACGAGCAGATCAGTGCAGCTCTGCTAACTATTTCAGCCACGCTGATGGGACGGGGCTAGGCCATGTGGGTGTGCCGTCGAGTCATGAGGGGCTGGACTTAGGTGGAGTCATACTGAAATTTGTAAATTTAGGGAGGAGATAAAGGAGGGGTGTGAGGAGAGGAGGAGAGCCCAGTGGAAAAAAGGGAGGGTGGGTTGGAAAAAAAAAAGCGCTGCCGGCTGTAGCTTGACTGGAGGATCTCTCTGCCTGGTGAGCCATTTACATCCTAACGCTCATGTGGTCACATCCAGCATCGCTCGCCCTGATCACTGACTCCAGGAGCTTCAGACAGAACGGACAGATAGCGAGAAAGACGGGCTCTATGCATGTGTGCTGGAGAGGGATCAGAGAGTTTGTAAATAGGAAGTAAAAAAGCAGAGCAGAGGAAGACGCAGGTGGGAAGATAAGGAGGGAGAAAGTAATCCAGAAGAAACTGTGGTGAAAAAGGTTGATTACACTTTATAAAATCTACCAACATGGCAGCCATGGACGCACTGGAGTTTGGAAGTGCCCAGCTGGAGCCTCAAACGCTCACTGAGATCTCTGATGATGAGGTTAACCTTCCACCTTCAGATGATGAAGACAACGCCCTCGCCGCAGCCAAGAAAGAGCTGTCCACAATGGGCACAGAAGGGGACGCCGCCGAGGACAAAGATGACGGCGTTAAAGCCGATCCACAGGTTAACGGGGTCATGGTGCTCTCGCTGCTCGACAAGATCATCGGGGCGGTGGACCAGATCCAGCAGACCCAGAGCGGGCTGGAGGCCAGGCAGCAGGAGATGGAGCGTACGGTGACCAGCATCCAAGGCGAGCTCACGAAACTCACCAAGAGCCACAGCACCACGTCCAACAGCGTCAACAAGATGATGGAAAAGGTGCGCAAGGTGAGCGTCAACGTGAAGACAGTGCGCGCCACGCTGGAGAAGCAAGGAGGCCAGATCAAGAAGCTGGAGAACAACGAGGCGGAGCTGCTCAAGAGACGCAACTTCAAAGTCATGATTTATCAGGTGGGAGAGTGTTTGTGTTTCAGTATGTGTCAGTTTGATGTGGGAGAGAGGCGGGTGTGGTTCATGGATGGACCGAATAACCGAGCAGGGTTTTGGTTTGTGAGCCAAATCACTGAAAACTCCCACAAAGGTGGTTTAGTCTGGTGAAGGTGTTGCTGGGATGCTGAGGGAGTGGTTCTTACTGGAAGCTGCTTTCCCTCTCAGACACACCAGTAAGACTTTCTCTGGACAGATGATAAGAAAGAAAGTCTGACCTTTGAACTACTCTGACAAACAAATGCAACGATAGTGTTTTTGTTGTACAGACGCGCCCTCGTGTTGCACTTCAAACACCACCCTGATCATCCACAGACTTTTAATTTCCTGAAAAACAAAAAAAATGATCTTTTAACAGAAACGTTTCTGCATGGAAATAAAAGCAGAGAACTGTAATTATTATGTAATAAAGGAGCCAAATGTTCGCAGAAGTGCATTAGAGTGAAGCGATCAACCAACGGCAGCATTAGACTGAGGAGGATGAAGAGTTTGTAAATCATGAACCAAATGACTCCAAATCACACTTAATAATTAAAGTATGAGCCGACAGAACAAAGCTGGAGCGATGG